AATGGAAGTCTTTCCCCAGGCCTTTCTCCCATGTCACCACGCTCATGGTTAGGTCAGCTCCAGCCAGGAGCCAACGTACCCACTTCACAGGTGTCTGCTGTTTGGAAGGCCAAGGTGCAAAAGAGGACCTTGGTGGTACAATTGTTAAAGCGCTCAACTTCTAACCACAAGGTAGGCGGTTCAAAGCCACCAGCTGCTGTCTGGGAGAAAGCTGAGGTGGCCTCTACTGCAAGGAAAGCCTGGGGGGAGGGGGGACACTGGGAGTCGGAACTGACTCTTCCATGGCTGGGGGGAAAGGAGGCATTCCAATCCACATTCCAACCCACGCCAGACGTTGCCCCACAAACACACAGGTGCAGCTCCCCAAACCACTGTGAGGTTCCCATCAGGCAACTGAAAGGGGGCTTCTGGGATTTCGGGGTGGGGTGAACAGAGAGACAGAAGAATTCTTTCATTCTATCTCAGCCCCCAGGCTAAGCCTGGTGAGCAGGGCAGACCCCAGGGCACTATCTTTGCTTACCATCCAGATGAGAGCTCGCCCCTGCTCTTGAAATGCACCTTGTTGACTGCCTGCTCGCTGGCCCAGGGACGTGTGGAAAACAGAGCGTTTGGGGACTTGACCTCGGAGACTGGACACAAGTAGAATGAGGCCTGGCCCCGAGGACAGGCAGGACAGAGAGAAGCCCTCCCAGACGTCATAGAACATGTAGGCTCTTAGACTCTCTACGAGGAGTCACCCTGGGGCAGTGAGTAAGCATGGGGCAGCGAACCACAGGCCTGCGCTCTGAAACCACCAGCTGATCCCCCGTGGGAGGGAGACTGGGTTTTGACTCCCATGGAGTGACAGTCTGGAAACCCACTGGGGCAGCTCTAGCCTGTCCTGTCGGGTGGCTGTGAGTCAGAGCCATCTCGATGCCAGTGAGTCTGTGGGCTTTCTGCCATTCTCTGGAGAAGAAGAGACTCAGTCGTGGACAGGTGAACGGCAGACCCACGTGTGTCCAGGTTGCTCTCCACTTGGCCCTGATTCAGGGCCACCCCAAGAGCGGCAGAGCGGACCCGCCCTCCATCCGGTTTCCATGGCTCCATTAGCCTGGGAAAAAAATCTCCTCCTTCCTCGGAGGCACACTGGGTGGTCTTGAAAGGACCGGCCACCCAGCCTGCTGCAGTCACAGGGACTCCCGTGGTGGTGGGTGATGCTCAGGGTGTAATGACTCATGCGAGCCCCGTGGGGTAGAGTAGAGCCTCTTCTATGGCCCCCAAGGCCGTCATCCTTAGGGGAAGGAGCCCTCGTGGCACTACGGCCCCAGGCCACAAAGTCAGCAGTTTAAACCCATCAGCCAGGGCTGTCTGGTCCCATAAAACAATTTAGAGGCTCGGAACCCTGATACAGAGTCCCTGTGAGTTGGAATGGACCCAGCGGTGGCAGGGGGATGGGGATGGGGGGGCAGGCGTTGGTCATTTTATTGAGTCTGATTGCCAGGTCTTCCTCATAAAGGGT